TACAGTAGTAAAATACAGTAAAATTTATTGTAGTGCACAGTAAAATTTGACTAAATACTATATTGTCCCACAGTTAACATGATTTGCAGGGTAAATTAAAAAAAATTCTCCGTGTGTTTATTATATTATTATATAATAATACGCAATGTTGGTATGACGTGAATCGTGCTCGGTGATGAAACAAATCATCGATTAATTCTACAATGATGATGACAGTCAGCATCGTCATACCTTCCTGACAAAAATGGGCGACAGTTTTATAATGTCTGTGCCACGAGTGGCGTGACAGAAGACTTTTGTGAATGAGAGATCCGTCCGTAAAGAATCCGGGCGCCAACGAAATCTCGATTCACTGGGCAACGAGTGTAACACCAGTCGGCGGTCATTCTCCTCGGCTATTTCTTGACCATTGCACGGCATTTAGGCACCGTTTACACGAACGTTTCCCGGGGTTTGAATGCCCGTGTAACGCACTGTAAACATTTTGCCGTTGGCGGCACACAGGCCGAATACAACGAATGGGGAAGGAGCAGAGGTAGAAGCGGGTATCAGGGGTGGTGGGGCTTTCGATGCAATTCTAAACCGGTGGAGGACTTTGTGCCTAATGTTTGGACATGTGTTCCGCCTCGGTCACACCTTTTGTTATCATTTTCCATGCACGTTTGTCCGCTTAAAATGTTGTTTTAGCGCTCGCGCCATCACAGTCATCAGGGTTGTTCGCAAACGGCTTGACACGAGTCGACGTCATCAATGGGGACTCGCCGTCTTGTTGCGTCTTACGTCACAGAATGTCTTATCTAACTTTGATTTTCTTTCGAAGATTCATTCAATGCTTCTAGAATACTATATGTGAGTTTTATGCCACGACTCGGCATTTATTACATTCTGTTTCGAAATTTTTTGAGAAAATGAAATTTTTTGAGAAAATGAAATTGAATATGTTAAAAATTATAATAGTAGTGCTTATATGTATAATATTTATATTATCATTTGTATATAAATATTTCGTACATCGTTCTGAATTCGCTAATATTAGGCTGTCCAAATATTTTTGCAAGTCACTTAGTTATGAAGGAATCCGTAAAGCTAAATTAAAGATCCCACTCTTCATGTGACGCATAGCTTTTAGAAGTGTTAAACTTTCTTCGATGATCGGAAGTGCCGAACAAAATTCTCACAGGTTTGCTCATTTTCTACGTGCTATTGCCGTTCGACGTCGATATATCATCCCGTAACGTATACATCCTTTCAGACACCACGCCCCAACGATATACGATCGACATTAGTCTCGTAAGAGCGCTAGCGACGAAATTGCACGATCAGGGGCTGGTAGAGGCGTTATGCTTTGAATACTGACGTTTCCTAGGGGCGGTTTGGGCGGCGTAGGGGTATTCACCGAGGAACAGACAGCCCCGACAGATTGGCTGGGAAAGTCTCTATAAATCGATTTTCGGTAACGCAATTTTTTATCGGACAGCCAAACGTTTGTTTGAGTCATAGAAAGCTGTGAAAATAAATTGTGCTAAAACATTTTAGTAATCAATTATCTGTTAATTATTATGTTATTTCTTATTTTTCGTTGATATAATAGCAATAGACATTAACTTTAGATTAGAGTGAATATTTTTATTATTAATTGTGGAAGTTATGATATTTATTAATTATAATTTCATATATTATTTTCTTGAACAAAAATATATTTCTTCAAAAGTACGTTAATTTTTTTAAAATTCGTGAGTTTTAACAGTCACTGTAATCACATTCAGAATGGCGTCGATCTTACGCAAAAAGGAATTTGCGTTAGGTATTCTTTATTCTCAACACCCTCTTTCATCACGAGAATTCTAATTACCGATCAAATTTGTTCAGGAGATGTTTTCGCAGGCTCAAGTCCCTTGGATGGACCGCGGTATTCTTCGCTCGAAATAAATATTTTCAGCGCAGGTCCGAACACGTGGTTTCTCACAATCGATCACCGATCCATTACAAATCTCGTATAAGGCTCATCCCCTCCTCGTCAAAAGACAGGCTTCCTGCTTCTGTCCCGTTTATCTCGCGAAGAAGATTCGAAGAGACGCGCCTGGCCACGTTCATTGAAAGAAAGTATGTCAAAGGAATTTACAAAAAAAGGCACAACTGAATTTCACGACAGTTCAGTCGTGGACAATACGGTCCTGCATCCGGACATTTGACTTTTGTCCAGGTTTCGACTATTAGGATTTCCTCCGCTTTTCGTCTCGTAGATCTTACGTACAGGACATTCACATCGCTAGACATTCATAATCCTGATCTCGAAGATGCTTCCTCTTGTCATTTATATGGCGCAAAATCGGCCGTAAAATTTAATATATTTTAAAACTTTATGCGAATATTATTATAACTCGTCAAGTTATATATGATCAAGATAATGAAAATTACGCACGATAGCGAGTCTTGAAACAAATAATTTTGAAAATTTACGTTGCATTTGGGCTACAAAGTTTGCAATTCTAATAATCATAATAATAATAATAAATACTTTTATTTAACTGAACTCTTTCCCTCTTTTTCTCTCTAATATTATATTTTCATTTTGACTTTTATTATAACTTTACAATTAGAGTAATTATCAAATTAATTTTAATTGTTTTACTCTAATTCAACAATTTATGTTTTTATGAATCATATAAGTTTTGAAATTTATTAGTTATTAAATTAATTATATAAATATAATAATTTATATTTTTAAATCGGGTGTCGTACAATCGTCAAATTGAAGTTACTGATTCTACTATCAAAAATTTTTAAACATTAATATTGGAATGTAAATAAACGTACATAATGAATTTACTCTTAATTAAATTAACGATGTATTTAATTAGAAAGTTAATTAATTGCGCATTTTTATCGCGTAGCATAAATTCGGCATATATCGTTGATTGTTCTTTCCACTCGAAATTGCTAATTAATAAAACCATATTAGTGGGTGTCAAACGGATAATAATTACATATAAGCTTACTTTTTCACATTTTTCTGTCGTATATAATACAATAAAGTGCGTCGAGAGTACCGTACAAAGTATGCGTGCAATTAACGTCGGAAGTGCCGTACAAAGTGTCGCGTCTCGTATTTTGATGATTAATATACGGATGGTCATAATTAACTGTGTTTTTGTATTTTCAGTGAAAATTATACTAGTGACATGCAAAGGAGCTCCAATGGAAGAGGAGAAAAAGAGGTCTAAACTACAACACTACCGCTACATTCAAAGTAAGTGATTATTTTAATTTGAGGAAATGGATCTATGATTTTGTACATATTTTTTGTATATACATAAGATTATTTTGTATTATACAAAGATGTAGAGAGTACATGAATATACATATACAAAAGTAATATATATGAATTAATAGATAAATACAATATCTCATGGATCCATTATTTAAAACTGTATGAGCAAGCATAGATCAAGTTGGAAATAAATAAAATAAAGATAAGAAAATTGTATACATGGAACTTGTAAACTTGAGTACAAAGACGTAAATAGTAGAATTATTTTTATAAGAGAAAAAAATCAAGCTCCATAATGAATCTTTAAGTCTAATAAAAATATATATTATCTCTTTTTTATTACACGATACTATAATTTAATCTTAATCGCTTATACATATAATAACAATTTGAATACTATTATAATCTTGATTTTTGTATTAGATTTTTTTAGCTCTAATTTCTAGAAAATACGCTATTAAAGTACGATTGTGAGACTCGTATGTAAAAACACATAAATTGCCTCCAATTTTTCGTATATGCGAAACAATTTAAAATATGTTTCAAAATTAAAATTGAAGTAAATATTCTTTAAAATTTGTTTCTCGGGATGTCCCTGACGAATCGCGAGATTGAAGCTGCAGGATGTGAGCTTGATCGATAAGTCGACCTAGTGGCTACACATTAAGAATCTCGATTTCTAATCCTATCGTTAAATGTATCCCGTAGCCTTTAGCTCGTTTGCGCGTGTACGTGTATCGGGATTGTACGGGCGTTTCCACCCCAAAGTTTTTGGCTCCGCAGAAAGGGCAGAAAAGGGGCCGCTTGCCTCGGAGCACGGATTGGATTGGATCAGCTTAACGTTGATTTAAGCCAATCAGCAAACAACCGGTCACCAGTGCCGAATCTCAGCATTGATCTCGTTAGCTCTTACAACTTCAATGTTGCGTTCCACGCAGCGATAGGCATCGCCATTCAATTCGCACGCCGCAACACCGGTTCTCGATTCTCCTTTTTACCTTTAGCGTTTCTTCAGGACAGCTATACTTTCCTTTAATTGCAAGATCCGGAACTACCGATTCTTTGGTACTCGAAGTTACTTTCATAAAAGTGGAAAGTGTTGAAAATTAGCAATGTTAAACAAACCTTCTTTTTTTCTAATGGTATGGAACTTACGAGTAATTATAAATTGTGGTAAATTGTGTCCAAGATGAGTTAGAGATATGATAAAAATAGACAATTTCTATAACTATTAGATAATAATCACATTGGAGTGGATAGTAGTGATAAGTAAAATCAGTTAAGTATTTAACTTAATCACATAAAAGATTTGAAGCGTTTATTTTGTTGTATTATTTGTATTATTTGTATTTATATGGTGAAAGAAATGGAGAGATAGAGTCACGTACATACATTCGGTTTATTTAACGTCATACAATATTTCGACTAGACAAAACTGGATGCACAACCGACTAAGATGGCCGCGGACGGTCGCATAATTCGGGCGAGTAATTCCGCGCTGGCGACATAACGACATGGCGATGGCTAAACGCACTTCTATAAAGTCGCACACATTGCACGTGGATAATTCACACAGCGGCGGAGGACGCGAGGTGGATGTTAGTATTTTAAGCCTATTTAAGTGTGTTTGTCGTATAATATTGACATCGTACACACAAGCAAAGAGAGCACGCGTACACCCTTGTTCGCGCGCGCGCGAGCGCCGTTCCTCTCCGTCTTTTTCTCTCTATCTGTGCGTCCGTTCTTCTCTCTCTCTCTCTCTTCTTTCGTATGCTCGCGACACTACGACCTGCACTACCCTCCTTTCGTTCATACACTTATAGATGTGTACGCGTAAAGTCCCGCACACATATACACGCGCGCAAAAACGGGAAGAAGCCGAGGGAGCAAGTGAATCAAATCGCGTTGTGTGCTCGGCAAACGACGCCCGGCGTCGCGACGATTTTCTTCCAGAAACGAAGAATGAACGCGAAAGTTTCTTACTCACGAACTCGCTGACTCGCTGACTCGCTGACTGACACATCGCGATTGCGGATTTGCATGCGATACTATTTTATCTATTAGGCATTAGTGCTATTTTACTCATTAGGCATTAGTGCCAATGGTGCAAATATTTTTAATATTTGATAAATATAGTATAACATTAAGGCTGAAGCGTACAAATAATATAGTTAGATTTATTTCTACAGATTTTTGAATTATCAGTTTGTTTTCTTGCAAAATATTAATGACAAGACAATGTTAATATTTAATTTCTTTTAAACATATTTGATACGTCTTTTATGTATAAATTGTATATATTTTGCAAATGTAACAAGTAAATTATTTTAATTTTTTTATTGTAAATAATTATTTTTTAATTTATCATTATGTTTTCAATCATCAAATTTTGAGTTTTAATAACTGCATATTTTAAAATTAAAATAAATTTTTGAATATTAAAAATGCGTAATTATTACATCGCATATTAAATCTTATCAAAGAATTGTCAGTACGAATTTGCTAAAAATAGAAAGAATTATAATCGAAATCTAACAGTTCGGAATAATCGTAGAAGCTAAGACACTCTGCCCTCTCGATTAGATAATTGTTTTTTAGTATTTTAAATATATCAAATCGTAATCTATTAAGCTCGATAATTAAAACCTGAAGTCGTTGAATACGCTGTATTTGATCGGCGTCAATGAAAGTCGAGCTTCTGGCTCTTCGTCTGGCGATGAGAGATGATCGGTATGATCCCTTTAATCCGTCGCATGATCACGGTTCTTTTTAGAAGGGAGGCGCAACAGTCCCGCTTGTAAACGGTAGCCGAAAGGTTGTCAGCAAGACCGATAATCTCCGGGTAGTCATGACAAATTACGGACGAAATTATGGGCCCGGCACGGTTCTGCGTTAGGATCCGCCAGGATAAATGAGCTGGTGCCAGGTGGGGCGTGCCCGTCCCATGCTGCGAGGCGAACAATTACGTAACACCATAAAACGCACCACGAGCGCAGCGGGGATTCCCCTGGAAGAATCTTGAATCGACTCGTACAAAAGATATCTGTGCAGTCGGCATGTCGCGATCGTTTTGGACGCATTATACAATTATACATCAAAAATTATGAAAAATGTGAACGAAGATAATCGAAAATTCGAAGGGTATACAACATTTAACTTACGTTAATATTTCTGCAACTATATAGATAGAACAATTTGCTTGTGTTGTGTTATTGATATTTTTGTGGCTGAGGAGGATTATACCATACATGTATACGTCAGTAAAATGCAACGCAATCGAATTTGCATGAAAGCATGATGATATTTTTATTATTATTTTTTTTTATGACAATGCATACAATGTTTTTACATATAATGGCAATAATAAAATCGGAATTAAAGTTCCATTTTATTCGGCCGAGTGACGTACACGCATATATACTTCGCGTAATGTTTTAAATAAATTCCTGAGTGAAATTTTTGAACCATGCTGATGCGATTTGATACGTCGAACTTGTTTTTGTTTGTCACAAATATTTGCGCGTTGCAAAATCACACGGGAAAAAAATCGGGGGGAGGGGGGGGAGAGAAAGAGGGGGGTCGATTTCTCCGGATACGATCGGATCGGCCGGTGCATTCAGAAATCGGGTTCGTTTGCGTACGGGGGTCTGTAGTTAAGCGTGGCGGTTGCAAACTACCGCCGCCCGTCGTCGTACCGATGTTTAGGTAAGATATTCGTCCTCGCAAATATTTGGAGATTGTCTACAGCCTCTAACCACCGCGCACCACTCCATCGGCTCTTACATTTAATTAATGACGTGCACTAACGTCCGGGGCGTTAATGCGCCTTAACGCAAATGTCACTTTATCCGCGCTGTTTGCGCGCCCTCGCGAGCATCGCTGACTTTATTACTATTATTATTCGGATAATCCGCGAAGCGAAACGTCGATTTGTCCTAACATAAATCGCACGGTTCAATATTGTGACGATCTGTGGTTTGCGTCACGGGAAATTACTATTAAAATGCTGTGACGATGTAAAATAGAGACGGATGTTATATGTATTGTATAGGTAGATAAATATATTATTAAATATAAACTTTTAGAAATTGTTGAAATAATATATAATTGAGAATGGAAAATACTTTACAAATTTACTGACTCACGCTAATAAAACAATATGGAAATAAAATAATGTGCGACCAATGCAGCTATGAAATTTCTACAGATTAAAATGCGTTAAAATATTATTTAAAATAATAGCCAGTTTGATAAATATTTCCGTATTTAAATAATATCTTTTATTAATTTTTGTACAATTAACGAACATTGATTTCTTCAATCAATTATATTAAATATCAAGAATGTATATAATTCAATTTTATATGATTAAAAATGATAATGTATACGTACAGCAGGTGTCTTAAAACTTTCAATAAATATAATATATACATGTGGAACAAGGCAAACGTGAAAAGATGATGTTAGTGTTCGGGTTAATCATGCGTGATCGTAAACCACAATCCTTCGGGGTGGATAGAGGCTTCGTAAAAAACCGCAAGTCCTTCTGAATAATGTGGTTAACCATTAATCGGTTGTTAGGGTTGTCGAGGGCTCGCTAGTATATTTCAACACCGATTATTCGTGAATAATCTAATTACGTAATAGCAAGCGTACATATTAATTAATTTTAGTATAGCAAACGATATTTGATTAATTATTAAGAATTTATTTGTGACAAAATCAATAGAAAGGAATCTATAATTAAAAAAAAGGGCAGAGAGGGAGAGAAGGAAGAAAAACCAATGTACATGTCGACTCTCCAATCCATCGGGGTTGTTTTGATTTATCCGTCCAATATTCCGTAGCCAATTCCGCGCTACGGCCATTCCTTTCATTTATAAAATGGTTTTTGGCCACGCACACATACGAATATATATATATATATATATACATATATTCCGGATTTCCACTGCAGGATATCGCGTCGACCGATTTTG